GCTCCTCCTCCGTCTCCCCTCTCGGGAGAGCTGCTGCTCCGTCTCCCCTCTCGGGAGGGCTGCTGCTCCGTCTCCCCTCTCAGGCCAAGTCACCTGCACCTCTCCGTGACCTCAGAGCTCCTTTGGCTGCCAACTGAGGGCTGTTTCCTTCGCGTCTTCAGCACTTGGTCTCACTGCTAGAGCACCCCATCATCCCTGAACACCCCCGGCAGGTCACCAGCCAGGCACAGCGGATTTGTGTGTCCATGTCCACCAGCACAAAGGCCTTGCTTAGGAGAAACACACAAGCAGGAGCCTACACGGACTATGCTGTGGGCTCCACACGCTTGGTGGGAGGCAGCAGTGAGGCCCGGCCCTCGCCAGCAGGTGAGCTGGAGCAGGGGCGTCCTCAGCGCTCTGGAACTCCAGCGCATGCACTGTGCACCTGCGTGGTTTCAGGCAGGTCAAGCAGCTTCTATTCGAGGCCACGTGAGGTGCCGCAGGGAAGTCTGAGTCACGGCTCACAACACCCCACTGCCCTGAGAGGGGACCCTGCTAGGATGGGGACCCCCTGACCTGCCTGAGCAGCTGCTGCAGGACCCAGTCCAGCCATCAGGCCACTGCACCCTGCTCTGAGCCCAGGAGGAACCCAGCCCGGGCCACCCAGCCACTGTACCCTGTCCTGAACCTGGAAGGAACCCGGCCCAGCCACTCAGCCATTGTACTGTTTCCTGAGCCCAGGAAGAACCCGGCCTGGCCACCCAGCCACGGCACCCTGTCCTGAGCTCAGGAGAAGCTGTGGCTCTGGGGCTTGCCTGGCTCCTGCTCCCAGACCTCGGGGTCCCCTCTCTCCTGCTGAGGGCTGTTCGGGAGCTTCGAGGCCTCTCTGGAGACCTGCTCCCTTCCCAGCTCTGGCCACCAGCACCAATGAGCATGCACAGGAGGCCGCTGCACCAAGACACAGCCTCTGGGCTGGGCAGAGAGCTCCGGCCACCGTGGGGCTTTCACCCAGAGCGGACACTGTCTCTCCTACTGTTGGCACAGCCCTGACATGCTCCAGCGGCCCTCAGGGGCAGACTTCCGCTGTGGCCCCTGGCACTGGCTGGGGACTGTTCAGGCCGAATGGGGCCCGCCCTCCCTGTGTGTGGACTCTGCGGCTGCTGTGCCCGTCAGCTCCGCCCTGTGCTTTCTGAGCGCTCAGCCCCCCAGGCTGCTTCCTCTTGTGTGAAGTGTGACAAAGCGCTCCCTAGGCAGCCTCTGGGTCCTCCTCATCTATCAGTCTCAGCAAATTCCAGCTGCCGTGACCATCTATATCCAAGGTGCAGCCATCAAAGGGGGCCGGCAGGAGCTGCAGGCAGCAGACAGGGAGCACAGAGGTGGCAAAACAGGTGGGCTTCCTGGAGGAGGGGCACACAGGCCTGACAGGTGGGGAACGCTCCAACAGATGGAGAGAAATGCAGGACATGTGACTTGGACCCAATCCTCCAGGCTCACTGGGGTGTCCCAGGGAGCAGAAAAAATGAAATGTCCCGTGTGCCTGAAACAGCAGCACGGGATGCTGTGTGGCTCCTGAGCTCTCACCAGGCAGGATTTCATCAACTGCTGGGCAGTTCCTCTCCTTCCTGGTGTGGAAACTCGCAGCCACATCCCTTGTGACCAAGGCCAGAAAGTGGGTGGTGCAGGACGCCCAGGGCATGGCTGGAGACTCACCACTTGCCGACGATCTTGGTGACATAGCCGGCCTCCTTCAGCAGCTCTGGCAGGAGCTGCTCCGAGTCTGGGATGCCGCCCACAATCTCCTGCGGTGTGTAGGCTGGAAGAGCAGCACTTAGTGAGCCCTGGGTAGACCCTGAGAAGCTACCACCCACCTCATCCTGACAGGACCCTGGCCCCTCAGGGTGAAAGGCTGTGGCTGGGGCTGCGCATTCACAGGGCTTGGCACTTCCCAGGACGTTTCCAGGCACCCTTCGGAGTCAGTGCCATCACCGGGGGCGGGACAGGGTAGACTCTGGCCCAGCCTCAGGCCCCACCCTGCCTCTCAGGCCGGCCTCCCTCCCACCTGGTCTCCAGGGACTCTGGAAGATACCACGTGAAGCTGTACTGCCTCACCCAGGCGTCCCCCGTCCTTCCCTTTCCTCAAAGGCCACTGGAAGTCCCACTTCCCCTGTGAGATGCCTCTACGGATCCCATCAAAACTCCTTGAGCATAGCGATTCCAGAGCATTCCAGAACTGCCACTGATGCCACAGCCCCGGCCTCCCCATGGGCGTTCGGCTCACCCTCTGGGGAGCAGGGGAGCTTCTGGGGCGAGGGTGCAGACCCAGGTCCTTAGGCTGAACTGGGCACCCTCTGCTCTGTCCATTCTGGGCCAGGGCAGGGAAGGAAACCAGCCAAGGGGAGCCTACACTTCCCCCCGCTCCCAGAGACCCCGGCACCACCTGCACCCTGCCTGCTGCAGGATGTCCCGGATGGAGGTGCGGCCATCTGCTTAAGGGCGCCTGTCACAGCAGATACGAAGTGCGGCTCCCCGGCTGACGGGTACTGCTCCACAGAACCCAGGCCATGAAGGAGGGTGGGCAGGAGACACTGGCCCAGCCCTGCACCCTAACTTCAGCCCTGGAGACTGCGGTGGGCAGCCTACCGTTTCTGGCATGGGCGTTGGTGGTGTAGAAGCCGTTGCGAATGGGCAGCCGTCCCGTGAGCAGCGCCGCCCTGGCTACATGCAGACGACAGAAATAGAAACCAGATGAGAAGTGTGACGCTCAGCCCCACACTCTCATCAGCAAGAGCCCCGCCGGGCAGACAGGTGCTTCACTGATGAGGCAAGTGCAGGTGGCAAGGGGCCGTCCCACCTGTCAATCCTGCTAGTGTCTCCGCCACCCAGGGGCACAGCACCCACTGTACTGAAACGGGTGCTACGGCTCAGTGTCGTCCCCAACGCCCCACCTGCTCTCCCAGGCTCCTGGGATACCCACTGGGTGTGCAGGTCCGCATGGCCCCGACCCCGTGTGCTGACCCCCGGGACACCCGCTGGGCGTGCAGGTCCGCATGGCCCCGACCCCGTGTGCTGACCCC